AAATATATATAATATATTATTATATAAATAATATATGTAATATATTGTTATATAAAAAGTTATATAATTTTTTTTTTGAGTCATTTCAAGCCGAACACGAGCGAACAAACTATTGTTCGTGTTAGGCTCGTTTACATTTCGAGCTTAAAAATTTGTTCGTGTTCGGCTCGTTAGGCTTAACGAACAAGCCGAACACGAGCTGCTTAACGAGCCGAACACGAGCTGTTCACGAACAACGAGCCAAATTGACAGCCCTACTTGAGTGTTGCACCTGGTCATGATCCATTATTCGCTTCCCGTGCAGCCTCCCTCTGGACTTCCACAGTCATAACTTTTGGCATCGTTGTGGTTGCAGCATTTATGTACGACGCTCCATTTGTGTTGCTCTTGTTGGCTTTCTTCATCTAGTTCTTGTCTTCCACCATCTGGGCTAGCTCCATCATCTCCCTCAATTCTTGTGGTTATAGTAGTTGGAGTGCTGTCTATATGTAGGGCTTTAAGCCCTACATAAAATTCTTCTCCGGCCCTACTTCATAAATCACCCAAAGCCATCCCGACAATAGTTCAAATCTTTCTTTATATTACATGATCGTCCCCTCCTGAGTTAAGGCATAGAATTGCTCGTGTAGGTCTCCTTCCCGAATGACTCGGAAACATTCCAACAAATAATCTTTAAATTCATCACACAAACAAATCAGGTATCTAACATCCCTCCCATTAAAACTAGACTAAGACTTTCCCCTTCAAACACAATTCTACGGCTATGAGTTTCTCCTCACCATCTACCTCATTCACTGTGAAGTATCACTTCACCCAATACACCCACTCATGCGTGTCTTCCTTCTCGAAGATCGGCATTTTCAACTTTCTAACTCTAACATCACCCCAACTTCCTCTTCCTCTGTTGTTTTCCCCCATGTATTGACGGTAAAACTCCTTCCTTCGACTGTAACCATATCCCCTCCTTGCTCCTCTCTTTTCTTCTTTGTGCTCCTACATACCTCTGACATAATCCCTTCTCTATGCTTTAGCCCAACAGCCTCCATCAGAAATCTCTAAGCCACTCCTAATCGGAGCCCTGAGAGGAGGTTTGTGATGGTGGATGTTTTCCTCCTCATGTTCATCACCTTCGATTTCTTATCCTTTCGATTTTGCCACGAATCCTCCAGTCAACCTTTGGTTAGGGTTTGCAAAAAGGAGCTGTCAGATGTCTCTTGGATTACATCTTAATGAGCCTTTTTAGCATCTCTTGAATATCCCTCATGTTCTCGAATGGATCCTCCAGTCGATTCTCTATAGAAGAGAACCTCTCCTCTATGATGAAGAGCGTTTCTTCCATCCCAAATTTTATTTGACTCACCTCTTCCAATTTTTTTTTTATAAATTATCCACTATTTTTTTTTCGCTTCCATCACTCCCAAAAACAAATTTTGATCATAAAGCATGAGAACCCATGCACGCTAAAATCTCGTTGAGTGATTCATGGGGATGTATCACGAGTATGCATGTCGTCTATCCAAACAACGACACAAGTAAGCTGAAATACAGTAACTTCGTACGTGGAATGACAACTATAAGTTAAAAAGAAATCATCGCCCTGTAATAAACCGCGAGTCGTTGTCTTCTTCAACAAGTTGCATGCCCGCTAGGTCAAATTGATCAGCTATAGCTCTTTACGCCGCGATCCCTTCGGTCTTCCCAGCTGATTCCACTCACGAGAAGATTTCGAGCACTCTTTCTCAGAGAT